AAGGCCGAGAAATTTAATGAAAATTTAAGGTCTACTGACATGCTTATGGGATAATTTAATTATCAGTACGCTTATGACTTTAAACCAATACATCTCATATACATGATCTATTGGCAGCCTCGGAAACCTGCTTATAAACTAAAAATTAATATTGTTTGCGACAGTTCATTACAACTTTGCCACTAATCTTTTTCGTTCAGACATCGATTGAGGAGTTTACTTGGGAAGATGAAGAATTATCTTCCGCAAGTACTAATTTAGGAGAAAAGTGAAAGGCGATAAATAGCAAATATTTTGTTTAAAATGGGCTCTCCAAAATAGCAAATCTATATACAAAATGGTGTGGGAATATTGTACATGGAATGTGTGTCATCAAAGAAGAAGCATGATAATTTGACGGGGTAACTTAGGAAAATTAGTAAAAATTAAAACAAAAAGTACAAATTAAAAAAAATTAAAAGTGACATAACCCATTACTGACAAAATTGGATTAGAGTTATTTAAATTATGTACATTGAAGCATAGAGAAAGGAAACATTTACATGATAGCAGATCACGAAGGCAAAGGAAAAGTATGGGAAATTAGCCAAAAAAAGTGGGCATCATGCGTCTCATTGTCCGTCTGAGAGGGTGGGTCGGTGTTCTTGCACAGGGGACGGTGTGATCGGACGACAATGAGCGTTGTCTTGAGACTGCTTGATCCACGGACTCAACGGAGCCCGTCGCACGCGGAAGTTGATAGTCGGTCCATGCAGTGACTGGAAGAGAAGGAAATGGTAATTAGTGCCAGCGTAAACAAGCGATTACACAATCGAATGTGGGAGGTAGCTTACATTTTTTATCTTGGGCGTGGACACCTCTCGGACCGGTGAATGCACCCTGGGCCGTTTGCTCAGAAAGGCTGCCGTCAGATTCATCTGGAAGAGAACATGGCGAAGGGAGTTGGTTAGACTGGGACGGGGTGAAATGGGCGAATGAGCGGTTTCTGCGAAAAGACCTACCGTGGGCAGAGGAAATCGGCTCGAGGCGGCCTCCCCTCCGGGCTTTGGCGTTTTCCCCTGGGACCTGGGGCTGGGTGTCATCGAGATGCAGTACTTGAGGCTGCAGTAGATCGGCGGATCGTCACACTCCTGCAGTTCGGAGTCCGAGTGCCGGTGGTCAGGTGTGGTGCAAGTGACGAGTCCGCGGATGGGTGGGAACGAGGAATGGAGTGGGCAGAAAAGTGGTAATTAGACATGACAGTCGGACGGGCCTGCAGGTCGGAAAAGCAAATAAAGCCGCCTCGCAGACAGCTGCGAGGTGGAGACGCAACCGTGGGTGGCCGCGTCCCGCTGAGAGGGACTCGGACAAGTGCAAGTCGTGCAGCATGTGATATCGAATTGCTGTTGGACACATGAGAGTTCACATGTGCCAACGACACCCTAGGCGCGGGTGCACAGATGGTGGCTATAAAAACAATCCGGCCCCTCCGACTGGACACAAGGCCCTTCAGGGGACTCGATTGTCCATATCCACCTTATTATGGCTGTATCAATCGAGTGAACCCGTTATCTACCGAACCGGAGGCCTGATGACTGGTCCGGTAGGGTGCGCGAGATCTGGTTATACCGGCATGAAATGGCGATAAAAGCCCAACTCGGACGGATGGGGTAACTGGGATTTGTGATTTCACATGCGTCGGCTCCAGACATGTGATGGCGTCATTAGTCCGCCTTCCAGATCGGTTAGCAGGCAGTGATGTCTACTTAAGTAGGCAGGAATGTGTGATGTTGATGAATGAGGTCGTGGTTTGTGGTCGAGTCGAGGGCGGGTCTCTGGTGAAATGGTGAGAAAGGGAGGCAGGATACTTTCAAGTGGCCGAACTGTCTGAACATGGGCGATTCATTACCATCTGGCGAGTGGACGCAAGAGTGGTGAGGGTGAGAAATTGTTTCATGCAGTTATGGCCCCATACCTTAATTAGCCCGAGCCACGCGAGCCACCTCACGCATGAACGGACACACAAGCATACACACACACACACACACACACA